AAGCAAAGACAATTAATTTTTGATAAAATTAATTAATAATTAATATTTATAATAATTAATTTTTAGTAATACTTATTTATAATTAATGGTAATAAATAACAATTAATATTAATGAGGATTATAATTGAAAAAAAATGACAAAAATCCTTTAACAAACTACTTCAACTAGCATTTCAATAAGTTAATTTATAAGCTAACTTTTATCTGCCAAAATACGTAAGACCGATTTTCAACAAATTAATGAATCCGAATCCTATTAAAATAATATAAAACAATTATCATTTATGTTTTTTTTTAATTTAAAAGATCATATAATTTATGTTTTCTCTTTTTTATTTATATGTCAACAGTCATATTTACAAAAGAAAATGTAATTTATTTATTTTAGGAATTCTCCATTTACCACGAATGATAGTGTAACAACCTCAAACCAATAAACGGTTTGAAACATCAAAACTTTGATAATAAATGAGAAAATGACTACTTCCCATAAAGAAATTCGATCTCAAAATCATAGTGAAACGACTAAGAGATATTATTACAAATGTCAATGGAAACAAATTAAATGTTCATAGTCAACCAAGGTTCATGAATGTTTTATCCTCATCCTAAGTTCAGGACAACGTTTTATTTTTGCCCTTGCTTCAATCCTTAACCAACGAGTGTCCTGAAATGCGTTTAGAATTGGAAATAACACGAGTCCGACACTGAGATCGAAAGGTCTACTGAGAAATCCTAATTGGAAAAAAAATAATTCACAAGAATTAGTAACAAGTTTTTTTTTTGAAGTATACAATATTTATATACAATAAATAGAACAAATAAACTTACACACCATCCTCACTTTTGGTGAGGTTTGAACCCTTCACCTCTTAGGAGACTAAGAACTCACATACCGCTAGACCAAATGCCCTTTGTGGACTTAATAACAAGTTTATAGGTAAAACCATTTAAAATGTAATCTCGCCAGAACACATCCCCTATTGATTACTAGCCACGATAGTCGCATCAATCATATACTCTATGGGTGATCATTCCGTCGAGATCGCAATCAAGTCCGACAATGAAATGCCATAAAACGTATTCATGGGTTTACCCACTAATATTCATGTGGATTGTTACAGTCTCACATTTATCACTTCCACCGTGTAAGTTAATCATTTTACACAATGTTTGTTGATCCAAACTCTCTCAGTGATTTGATGATGACCCTTGATAATCCCAGAATGATCAAGTAACAATGTAATTCAACAATCAAGAACAACAATCTAGAGATCAAATCATCATGTATAATGATAAACTCTCACTTTTACATGTTCTCTCTCTAACTTCTCTCTAGAATGTATTACAATGAGTTCTCACTATAAATTAAACCAACACATGCTATTTACATCATTGACTAAACATACAAGAAGTCAAACTACAATTAAGTGTAGGAACCCAAATTCTCAATTACACTAGTGATTAATGCTAAAGACAAATAAATGAGCGGAAGCAATAAGCAATAATACTAGTAAGTTAAAGAAATATGACAAGTAAACAGTAATGAAAATCAAATACTCTTTTGGAGAATTGTCGTAGTCAAATGTATTTCAAAGGTTTTAGAGATTGAGCATTTACACCAAGAACACACCGTAGTGTGTGAAATCAAATCTCTCTAAAACTATTTCTCTCAATTATGAAATTCTCTCATTGATTTATTGGGAAGAGTGCACCTTCAAATTGCAAGGAAAACCTTTGAGGAATCTCTTATATATAGGCATCTTTGGAAAAATCATTGCATCCTCCTATCAATCATCTCCACGTGTAAGGAAGAAATAACCGTTTCTGCACACGTGGTGAAAGGAGACAGGGTCACTTGTACAAGAGAGACTGGCTAGAACCAGCAGGTTGACAATGAAGTTGAGAACCAGATGCTCTGCATGTACTATACAGAGGCTTTATGTCTAGGACTCGAGCTCTACATCCCGAGTACTTGGAAACTTTGGTGCGCTACTTCATCCTTGGTCTGCTCTGTATCTAAGATCTGGTTCCTAGCCGCTTCTAGACATCAAGTCTTCTTCGCTTAGACTTGAAAATTTTTACTTATACTTTTAAATACTAACATTATACCTCTAAGTGTAATAAAAAGAAATTACAAAAAAGTAATTCTAGTCTAGAAAGCAAGAGACCAACATGGTCCTCAGGGAGGGATAGGCCCTGAAGCGAAGGACGGGAACAAGCATAATCAATGTGTTCCAATTTCTGGCCTTGTATCGACCATCCAATGGTAAATGAAATTCATTGATTTTGAACAAGAAATTACAAAGTACATTTAAGCTCTTAGACGTGCTGGAGTTTAATGAACCTTCTAAGAAGCTTACAGAAATCTAACAGATCATCTATTGTTCTAATCAGGTCTGCTCCAGCTTCTCTTCTTATAGGATCTTCATATCCTTTATGTATTACCTTCTTCCTGACCCAGAGTAACGTTGAAGAGGAGTACTTGTATTTTTCTATGTGACAGCAGTCAAATTCGAAATCCAGGTTAGCTATTATTACGATTATATTAGTATTATTGAAGTTATTTTACAGATTAGGAGTTAGTTAGATTAGTTTAGTTGAGAAATTTTAAGAATTTCTGGTGGTTGCTTAGAAAGTCCGGTTTCGGTCCGAGGTTATCCGAAATGTCCTATACAGTACCAAATGCTCTAAATTATACCCAATATATATAAAACACTAAGTTTTAGTGTTTTAAATATAAAACCTTTCTATTTGAATAAATTTAGTCATCGTGGGCTTTTAAAGTGAAGAAAAATGGCAAAAATTGAAAAGTCGGGCTTTTGTGTATTTTGGGCTTTAGTCCTATTGTTCTTTTATAAATTATTTTTTTATATTTTTGGAGTTGGGTTGGGCCAAGAGGCCGGCCCCTCTCTCTCATTTTTTCTCTCTCATTTCTCACATATAAATACCCACACTTCTTTAGAAAATTCTCATTTGCTTCATCAAAAAGTTTGAACTCCTCTCATTTTCCTCTCATCTCTCTCTTTAAACCCAAGATCACTTTGAAGCTTCCTCACTCCACCCTCTCCATTCCAGCCGATTTCTCCTCAAATCTTCTTCATCAAAACAAAGTTTTGAATTCAATCATCATAAGGTAATGCATGCATCTCTTTTTACTCTTCTTTGCATGTTTTGGGAAGAAAAACCCTTTTTCTTGCATTATTCATCATCTATTTCATGGGTTTTGAAAACTTTGAGATTCAAGGTGAAATTATACACCAAAAACATGTAAAAGTGTTCATTTGATGGTGGTAATCCATGACC